GTGGAGCTGCGCACCTGTAGTTCCAACTGCTCTGGAGGCTGAGGGAGGAGGATTGCCTGAGCCCGCCAGGTCAAGGCTACGGTGAGCCACAACTGTGCCACTGCACTCCAGCCTGGGTGATAGAGACCCTGTCTTAACAACAACAACAACAAAAAACCCAAACAACAACAACAAAAACAACAACAAAACACGCTAAAATACTATTCTTTTTTTTTTTTCAAGATGGGGTCTTGCTTTGTTGCCTAAGCTGAAATACAGTGGTGAAGACATAGCTCATTGCTATCTTGAATTTCTGGGCTCAAAGGATCCTCCTGCCTCAGCCTTCTGAGTAGCTGGGACTACAGGTGTGCACCATCATGTCCAGCTAATTAAAAAAATTTTTTTTGTGTCTGGCAGGTCTCACCAACTTGCCCAGGTTGTCTGAAACTCCTGGGCTCAAGCAATCCTCCAGACTCAGCTTTCCAAAGTGCTGGGATTACAGACGTGAGCCACCATGCCCGGCTTACTCTGTTTTTTATAAAATGTTCACAAAACCTTTTCCATGAACACAGATACACAGTAAACCTGTTTTTAAAAAGTTTCCCAGCAGGCTAGTTCATCTAGCCCAGCGGCCTGCAGTGGTAACCTGCTTACTAACACACTCATTAGCTTATCCCCATTCCATTTTTCACTTTCCTTTCTCTTTCACTTGTGCTTCTGGGATCATCTCCCAAATAAACCGCACCAAAATCCTGGTCTCAGGATCTGTCTTTGAGAGACCCAAACTAAGCTAACTTCCTCTTGGCAGATGTGGCAATGTCCATGGCTCTGGTGGTTAGGGTAGGGTGTTGGTGCTGTCCTGTCTGCTGCTTCTTTTGCTGCCCTTTGATCTGTTTCTGCATCTCACGCCTTCCATCCTGTTGTGCTCTAGAGTACTTGCTTCTTTTTAATTCAACTGAGGCACTAGTTAAAAACAATTTTGACTCTGGCTGGGTGCAGTGGCTCATGCCTCTAATCGCAGAACTTTGGGAGGCCGAGGCGGGCGGATCACGAGGTCAAGAGATTGAGACTATCCTGGCCAACATGATAAAACTGCGTCTCTACTGAAAAAAAAAAATTAGCTGGGTGTGGTGGCATGTGCCTGTAGTCCCAGCCACTTGGGAGGCTGAGGCAGGAGCATTGCTTGAATCTGGTAGGCAGAGATTGCAGTGAGCCAAGCTTGTGCCACTGCACTCCAGTCTGGCACCTGGCAACAGAGCGAGACTCTGTCTCAAAAAAAAAAAAAAAAAAAGAAGACTTTGACTCTTATCAATGGTCATAGACGGTCTTTCAAGGGTTCAACCTGGCTGCCAAGTCTATAGACTATCCATGTACCATTAACCGCTTTCATCACTCATGCCACTCTCTTCCACCCTAGCTAAGAGGTATGAACCATCATAGAGTTGAGGCCAGGGTCAGACAAATCAGCATCTCAAAGGCTCTCAGAGGACCTTGCAATCATTTCCTCTAATCCCCTAATCTCATGTTAGAAAACTGAGGGGCAAAGAGGATAAGCATTTGCTCAACACGTCCATCAGTGAATCCCCTTAAAGCTTTTTCTGAACGCATGCCACCATCTCTTTCCTTGTTTGCCTCACTCCTCTTCCTCACCAATACTTTTATTTATTTCCAGTTGACCTAAGTCCTCAATGAGTTGTACCTATGCAGTCCTCTGCCCTCCTTACCCTGCCCCATTTTTAGGTTGAAAATCTATTTCCCACCACATTTTTGCAACAAAGTAAAACCTAAGAAATACGTGATGGACAGGAGGTTGTTGCTGTTCACCTAATGCTCTTGCATGATTAAGCTCTCCCTAGAATTTCTGTGTGTGGGTACAAAAACAAAATCTTCCTTTATCGCTACCATTTAGTAATTCCCATCCCTTACTCTGTTGTGACAACATCCTCCCAAGCGTGGACATCCTCCCAGGCTCTGAACCACAAACAAATCTCTTACCTTCTTGTCTACATTGCCTTCTGGCATCCTATCAGATGACAAGCCTTAGAGAATCTACTGTCTCAAGACCTCTTATATTCATATCTCCTGTCATCTCATTATTACCCTGGCATCGGCTCTTGCCTCTTGCTGTTCTTCTCATCTCCAGTCTTCATCTGATATGCAGAAGAGGAAAGGGAATGAAGCTCAGAAGAAGCATATGTTTCTTCTGAAGGAAGCTCAGAAGGTTGCACAACTGACAAATCATAAGGATTCAAACCCAGTTCAATTTTGCCCCCAATCCAGCATACTTTCCACTAGATCTGTTTAGCGCTCTTTCCATCTTGCTAAAATCTATACTGTTCTACTTTGTACTATGGCTACTTATGAAGCTGTCTTATGCCCATTATCAGTGTGTAAGCTCTTCGAGGGTAGACTGTCTTGATCTTTTGATATCCTAGGCAATGGCTAAGCCAGTGCCTTGCACTGTGTAGGCATTTCCAAAATAGGTGCTGACTTCAAAGTGGGAGATAATGGTCACAATGGTGATAGAGACAATAGAAGCTTAGGAGAGAGACAGATTTAAAGAAAACCTGTAGGAGAATGAAGAAATGATTTTGAGTTGGGCTTGAGGTGATGAAGGAATTTGGATAGATGGAGAGAAAGGGGTGGTGTGAGGTGGGCTTCAGAGTCATGGGTTTGGAGTTGAACCTGTAGAAGGAAGCTGCTTTGGGGAGGCCCTGGAGTTTCTGCACCAGGTCTAGTTGTGCACAGTGAGCAAGTTACTTAACTTCTTTAAATGCTGGTTTTCTAATGTGTAAAGTGGGAAAAATAAAAGTCATTTGGAATTAAGAGCAGAATGAGATAATACATGTGAAGGACTTAGCACATTGTCTATTATTAATTATATTATTAATAATAAACACTATTAAAATGTTATCAATAGGCCAGGCACAGTGGCTCATGCCTGTAATCCCATCACTTTAGGAGGCTGAGGTGGGCGGATCGATCACCTGAGGTCAGGAGTTTGAGACCAGCCTGGCCAACATGGTGAAACTTTGTCTCTACCAAAAATAAAAAATTAGCTGGGTGTGTTGGTGGGTGCCTGTAGTCCCAGCTACTTGGGAGGCTGAGGCAGGAGAATTACTGGAACCCAGGAGGGAGAGGTTGCAGTGAGCTGAGAGCACACTCCTGCACTCCAGCTTGGGTGACAGAGCAATATACTGTCTCAAAAAAAAAAAAAAAAAAAAAAAAAAAAAAAAGGAAGAAAGGAAACAATGTTATCAATAGTAAGACAGCCTGAAAAGTTCAGATGTGTTTCTGTCTAGTTCTCTAATTATTTTATTTACACTCATAGATAAGGCCATTGCTGCTGACTGAAAAAAAAAAAAAAACAAAATTATCTAAAAGCACCAGTACATTCATAAGAACACTAGGTTACTATAATTTTCCTTATAAATGATGCCAGGAGCCCCTCAATATATTTTACCCTTGCCAGGGATTCTCGTAGTCAAAAATTTCAGAAACCAAACTGTTGAAGCAGGAGAGTGTTATACATATTCCGGGTAGAGCTGACTAACTTGGCAGAATAGAGATTAGGATTTTGGGAATAGGCTAACCTGGCGAAAATCCCTGCTCCACTTCCAGGCTGTGCTTTTAAGGAACTTGGGCATATTCCTTATCTTTCAGTACTTTGCTTTCCTTACTTACCTAAAAAAGGATAACATTCCTTCAAGGCTGTAGAGTACCATGTGTAAAGCACTCATCACAACGCATTTGTGTGGGGAAGACACAGTAAGTGCATAAGAATTGGTAGATGATAATGGTGATGTTTATGAAAATCTAATAACGAATAGCCAGCCGGAGGTCACTGTTATCAACGAATCATCCACATAACAGCGACTTTAGCTACACTGGGAACTTACACATGCACATTCTCAGGCCCACTGGAAACATCCTGAAACGGGAACTCTGGAGGCAGGGCCGGGCAATCGGCACTTTGTCTGAAGTACTCACGTTTTGAGAACACCTGTCAGGTGACAGGGACCCACTGAAAGTTTTTAGACGGTGGAGGAATGCGACATAAATGCCGGTTCACTGGCATTAAAATGCCTCACTACCGACTGGCTTCCGATGTTGCCGGAAGAAACCTGTTTGTTGATCCTTAGTGATCTCCAGGTTACAAAACGCAGATTGGTACTAAGGGCACCAAACACAGTGCCCACCTACCGAGCGCAGCCCCAGGCAGTTACAGGAGCTGTTTTGGATTTGGCTGGGCAGCCCAGCGATGCTCAGCGAATCCCCCAACTACAACCACAATCGTACTACACATTTAGCCTGCAAAAGCAGAGAAAGGAAAAGAAAACCGTGCAAGGAAGAAGGAAACGAGGGACTTAAGGGTCTCCATCTCGGGGGAGGCGGCGGGGTGGGGGATGGGGTGAGTGGGACGAGGAGGGGGCGAGGATCGTGGGAGGCCCCTCCTCCGCGCGGCGACACCCGGTTCGCATTTCTCCGGAGCCGGGGTGCGGCCAGAGGGACACACCCTCGACCTGGGAGACGCGAGGGTCGGTGGCCTCTTAGCGTCGGTCCAGCTCAGTTTCGTGTCATTTGTTGTTAGAGCGAGGTAGGGGCGTTTCCCCACCCCAGCTCCTCCCCGGGGAAACCCCAGCCCGTTTCCTCCCGGTTCTGCCGTTTTCGGGCGCGCAGTGCGGGGTCCGACGCTGAGGCCGCACCCTGGGCGCCCGGCGCTGCCCGCCTCGGCCCAGCCATTGTTCGAGCCCCACCCCTGATGAATATTCACGCCGCGCGGGCACCTCGGCCCGCGCCCTCCCCGGCCGGGCTCGGGGTGTGAGTGCGTTTCCGCCCGTTTTTCCTGCCTGAGGAGGAAAGGGGGAGCTGTTTTCTCTCTCCTCAGAATATATTTTTGGTGTCCCGTTTCTCCTCCTCCCGCGCCGCCGCCGCCCCCTCCCCCCCACCTCGCTCCCCGCCTCCGCCTCCGCCTCCGCCTCCGCCTCCCGGGTTATCTTTGTCTTGCTGCCTCGCGCTCACTCGTTCAACTCTCGGCGCCGTCGCGGCCCCACGCTCCAGGCCCGTCCTCGAGGCGCGCGGCGCGGGTCGCGGGCGCCGGGGCCTGAGGCGGCTGGCGACGCCCGGGGGCCTGACGGCCGGGCCCGCGCCATGGTGTGAACGCCGCCGCCGCCGCCACCGCCCGCGCACACTCCATCCGCCCGCCGCGCGGCCCGGCCAGCCGAGAGCCCGGAGCGGCCCGAGAGCGCGGCCGAGCCCGCCGCCGCCGCCGCCCCCGACCTCGCGAGGAGAGTCCCGGGCAGGCTCGGCTGCCGCCGGAGGAGCGCCGTCGGCGGCCTGGACTGCGGCGGAGATATCCACAGCGACAGGGATATTTATTGTTATTTGTTTTTTGGTGGCAAAAAGGGAAAATGGCGAACGACTCCCCTGCAAAAAGTCTGGTGGACATCGACCTCTCCTCCCTGCGGGTGAGTGGGCCCGCGGGCGGGCGCACGGGGAGCGGGCCGCGCCCTGGCCGGCCGGGCGCTCCGGTGCAGCCGTGGGCAGACCCGCGGGCGCGGCGGCCCCTTTGTCTGCTCGTGCGGGCTGGTGCGGGGAGGGCGCGACCCTCCGCCACCCCCACGCCCCGGGCCCATCGGAGGACCCCCGAGGGCCGGGGGACGGTGCGGGGCGAAGCCCACCTCTTTTGTCACCGCCCTTTCTTTCCAACTGCCCTGCTTGATTTATTCATTTTTTGGCCTCTTTTAAATGATAACCCCTCCCTCCTTCCTCTCCAGGATCCTGCTGGGATTTTTGAGCTGGTGGAAGTGGTTGGAAATGGCACCTATGGACAAGTCTATAAGGTCGGTGTGGGCGCCTTCTTTGTTTCCCGTGGCATGTGGAAACTTCTTGTTGGGAGACGGGGTGAGGGTGATAAACACGCTGCTGACTGGAGGCCACGCCGCTTGGCTAAAGTTGGGAAAGGGGTTTCGCCTTGCAGTCCCTCTGTTTTTTGCACACCGACTTTATATTCAGACTGGCCTTAAAAGACCTCATTTCCTGGCTTTGATATAAGGAAATAAGCTACACTCTTAGGCATGCACTTTCCTTCAATAAAATGGAAAATAATTTTTTAAAAACAACACAACCTGAATTTTTTCTTTTTTTCCTTAAAGCCGGCCTTTTGAATTTGTGTGTGAATTAAAAGCCCGTGGAGGCGGGCCTTGCCTCTGATGATCCTAAACCACTGCTTTGGCCTTTGTGAAAATTGTCATGTTTCAGCCTCCACTCAGTGCTTGCTAGTTGCTCAAGGTGGGGAGTTTGGCGTTACCTGGGAATACTTTAGAACTGTGGCTGTCATCCTTTCTGTTGATGGATACATATTTTGGGGAAGCAGGGAGGAGTGTGTGTTTGGGCAACAGGAGCAGGAAGAATTACAGTGTGGGGATTATAAAATATGAATTCCAGGAATAACCTGTTTGACAGCTGTGTAATTGAAACAGAAATGACGGGGAGCGAAGAGTATAGAGGATGTCCTGGTTTCACACCCACCCAGGTCTTTCTCTTTTTAAAAAAATTTAACACCCACCCGCCACCCCCAACGATAAATGAAACTAGCAGGTCTGGAGACTGAGTCTGCGCTGAGTAGCTGACACCTGATGTGACTAACAGTGTTCATTTTATCCAGCGCACATTCTAGAGATTATGAAAGAGCTGTAGGGGATGGAGGCGCAGGCCTTGAAAATTCAGAACAGAATGTTAAATTCTTCCTGTCTTGATTTGTTTCTCATTACTGAACGTTTTCTAAAAGTTATCTGCACTGGGGGAGTGTTCTGTTAAGAGTTGGTACAAGGTTGGGGAAGCAGGGCTTTGTGGTTCACTATGAAGAATTGTCATTGTCTCATTAAAAATGGGTGGAGTGGGGGGTTGGAAGCTGACTGTAAACGTTTTCTTAGGCCAGATTAAGTGTGGATCTTATTGTCTCTTTTCCCCCTTATGAGTAGAGTTTATCTGTCACCTGAACGCCTCTCCTCAGCCCAAACTTCTATAGTCTGGGCGATGTACTGACTGGATTGTGGTCCGAACTTGGGTCAGTATTCTTAGGTGATCTCAAGTGAATTAGCATGTGTTTTGTTGGTTAACTGTTGGGGCCAAGGCCAGATTTTTGAATTTGAAAAAGAGCCCTGTTAACTCAGCTTGCTGGGCTCAACTGAATTTGGAAGGCTTTGGAAAATTTTGAAAAAGATTGTGTTGCAACCCACTGAGTGGTTGGTTAGTAACTGGCTAAAAGACATTCTCCTCCGTCCGCTGTTTGTTTAAGCACCAGTTTTTTTTCTAACCCAGTTTTTCTGGCCAAATCTGAGTGGTGAGTGTAGTCTTCCAAGTGAATTAGCCAGAGCTTGTTTTTGACCTGGTTACACAGTAGTTGGATTGTTTGTGTCTTTTTTGGTCAGCATGGATATTAAGGGCAGAGAAATAAGCTAGAAGGCAACATAGTCTTTAAACTAAAGGAAAGAAGGAAACCCCAGTTTGTATTTGTTGGTTTTAAGAGGTGGGAGCTGTTTATGGTCAGGGTTTGGGCAGGTTCATTGTTATTTCCCCTGATTGCCTTTTTAGTTCCATGACCCGCACCCTCCCAAGCTTTTGAAGTAGATTTGCTGAGCTCTACGTTTGGGATACCGGCATGACACAGCTGTCAGCTATAAAGTCTCTACATAGGTTGAGAATTTCTCTAATGATGCAAACCTAAGGAATTAAGAAATCTGTGCAAAAGTTGCCTGCAGAACAGAACAAAATAGTGCCTGAAATCTTGCTCATAAGCAGTTTATTTTTATATTATATGGAAAATTTCAAACATAATGAGTAGAGAGTTAAGTTATCAGCACATGACTAAACTTGTCTCATCTGTATTCTTCTCCTCCTCCTTTATCTTAATGTAAACCCCAGATGTCATTTCAGCCATAAATACTTGAGCATGTTTCTTTTTTATACAATCACATTGTTATCACACTTAGAAAAATGTCATATATCCAGTGTTAACATTTTCCTGATTGTCTCAAACATCAAGAAACATTTTTTTACTATACTTTTTTTTTTAGTATAACCAGAAGTTTTTTAATGTTTATCAGCAGGTACTGGGAGCTCCAATCTTAAAGGTAGTGAAAATAGCAGAACACCTCTTTTTTTTTTTTTTTTCTTTTTAACTATTTGATTTCTAGAACCATTTGCCATTATGCATAGGGGTTAATTTAGTATTTTTGTCAGTGTGATTTGCTTGTGGTAGTTTTGGGATTAGATTATTAACACTCCAGAGTTTGTTTATTGCTGCTAAACATCCTTTAGGATGAATAGCATTAAAGATTGAAAGATACTTGTTACTGATTTGTTATTTATAAAAAGGTCTTTGTTTTTAAGCATAATTTCAGGTTAAATCTGTAAGCAGAACTTGTAGTCCTAATGTATTTTAGTGTCACATTTTCTATTTTTCATTAGTGCAGAGGTTGCTTATTTTGAGGCATCTATATTTACATGAAGTGAATGAGTTGAAAAGAGAGAGTTTTCTGAGATTTGATAGGTTCTATGAAATACCTTTTTTTGGGGTAAACAACTTCCCTTCTAAACTGTGGTAGACCTCTCATTTACTGAAGAAAGGCAGAGGTGGGGTGTGTGTGTGTGGCAGTAGGGCTAAATGTGACCTTTGGGAATGGTAGGAAAGTGGTTAGGGAGTAGTGGGAATTTCGAGGAGATATTTGGACTTGAGGAGGGACCTCTTTAAGCATTGAGGAGCTACTGAAAGGTTTAGTTAGAATTGGGGATCCTTCAGAGTAGGGGACTTGATCCAGTTTTTTTGGGGATAACTTCGAATTTTCTGTATCTCTGACAACAGTGGTAAATGGTCTGGTATAGTTGAACAGTATATAACTTCATCTTAACAGAGGGAGGTGAAAAAACCGTATATTCTGTTTAGAGAAATTTATTTTCACCCTTAGGTTTTTGAGAGAAGAATACTCATGAACTTAAAAAATAAAATTGTAAATTTTTCTTCACAAGGTTACATTCAGAATACCATATATTTATAAAAGAAGTGTCTGTGGTATGATCAGTGGGGACAATGATATTGTGAAAAATTAAAACCAGAAGTAAATCAAGTTTGTTTCTGTGTTATTTTGGATTTTATTATTTTATTTTATTTTGAGATGAAGTCTCCCACTGCTGCCCAGGCTAGAGTGCAGTGGCACCATCTCCATTCACTGTAACCTCCGCCTCCTGGGTTCAAGTGATTCTCCTGTCTCAGCCACCTGAGTAGCTGGGAGATTATAGGCGTGTGTCATCATACCCAGCTAATTTTTGTATCCTTTGTAGAGACAGGGTTTCACCATGTTGGCCAGGCTGGTCTTGAACTCCAGGCCTCCAACTCCAGGCCTCAAGTGATTGCACTTCGGCCTCCTAAAGTGCTGGGGTTATAGGCGTGAGCCACTGCACCTGGCCTTATTGTTATTTTAAATATTTATTTGATCATTTTTGTGTTTTCCTTGGGGTAACTATTGTTACTTTGCTTTCTGTGAGCATAAGATGGCTGGTATTCCAATGTCTTGAATAAAAGATTGCTGGCTGTGCACGATGGCTCACGTCTGTAATTCCAGCATTTTGGGAGGCCGAGGCAGGCAGATCACCTGAGGTCAGGAGTTCAAGACCAGCCTGGTCAATGTGATGAAGCCCCGTCTCTACTACAAATACCAAAAAATTAGCTGGGCGTAGTGGTGGGTTCCTGTAATCCCGGCTACTTAGCAGTCTGAGACAGGAGAGTTACTTGAACCTGGGAGGTGGAGGTTGCAGGGAGTGGAGATTGCGCCATTGCACTCCAGACTGGGCAACAAGAGCAAAACTCTGTCTTGGGAAAAAAAAAAAAAAGATTGTCAGCCTGAGGACAATTCTGAGTTTTGGAAGGACTGTAAGGGGCCAGAGGGAAAATCCAGTAACAGTAACATGGAAGTCAGGGAGTTCAGAATTCAGCAGGTGAAATGTCTGAAATCAAGGTTCACTCAAAGGAGGGATCATAGACTTTATGGAAGACTGACCCATTCTGATCTTGTCATTGGAGGAAGGGTATAATGTGAACCCTGGAGGTGAGGACGAGTGTACCCTAGGCCCAAAGACCTTGATGGTAAGGGGAGCTAACACTAAGTTCGCTCATTCGACATCCATTCAACACTGCGCTAATGGTAGCCCCCTTCATTTGTTGAAGAAAGGCAGGGGAGGGGTGGTGTGTGTTTGTCTGGCAGTAGGGCTAAGAGTGACCTTTGGGAATGGTAGGAAGGTTAGGGAGTAGTGGGAATTTCAAGGAGATATTATTTGGACTTGAGGAGAAACATCTTTAAGCATTGAGGAGCTACTGAAAGTTTTCATTGGAATTGGGGATCCCTGAAGTAGGGGACTTGATCCAGATGTGTGTTGGGAACGAGCTGGTAAGATGGTTGGCCTTGGGCAGTGGTCCAGTGACAGGAGGGGAAGGCCAAGTCAGGATAGTGGCAGTGGTGGTAGAGAGGAAGAGAGGGTCGGGTGGATACTTGGGCATTACTTTTTGCTAGGTTTAACTCATTAAGTTCACTGTTCTCTCCAGGTTTTGGTATGTCCCTTTAGGTGGGTACACTGTTTACCCACAGTATTAGGAGGATCGTTGGGATTCCCAGCACTTTGGGAGGCCGAGGTAGGTAGATCACCTGACGTCATGAGTTGGAGACCAGCCTTGTCAACATGGCAAAACCCCGTCTCTACTAAAAAAATTAAAAAAATTAGCCAGATGTGGTGGTAATCCCAGCTGCTTGGGAGGCTGAGGCAGGAGAATCGATTGAACCTGGGAGAC